TCTAGAAAATCTGGATTTCGCAGATGATATATGTCTATTGTCACACAAACTCAAATACTTACAGGCGAAAACCAAAAAAAAAACTGGCTGAAGAGGCTGTGAGCGAAGTCAGGACTGTAGGTGAATATAAAGAAGATGGAGGTGATGAAGATAACCGACGAACAGCAATAACAACCAACACCAGTCACCATCAACGGGAGAGATTTGACAGAGGTTACCTCCTTAACTTATCCGGCTAGGAAGCACAGTTTCAACCACAGGGATTCGGAATGAATGAAAATATCAAAGGCAGCCAGAATCAGAAAGGCAAGATACGCCTTCACCAACCTGAAACCAGTTTTTGGGAATCTCCTGCAGTATTCAGCATAGAGAACAAGATTCAGGTTTTCAACACGAATGTGAAGTCAGTCAGTTCTTCTATATGGGTCAGGAACTTGGCCAGTGTGTGTGACGAAAGGCATTTCCAACAGGTTACAGACCTTTATTAACAGCTGCCTTCTCTGGCTCCATACTGAAGATCAAATGGCCAGCCAGCCAGCAAGCCAGAAAGAATTAGCAACAAGAAACTCTGGCTGGCTGGCAACAAACCAACAGGCAAGAGCCGATCGCTCAACGAATATGTAGGCGGAAATGGAGATGAATGGGGTATATAATGAGGAAACTGTCAAATAACATCGCTCACAATGCAGGTCATCTCTCATGTGGAATCCGAAAGGGAAGCTACGAGTGGGTCGTTTGTATGACAGTGACATGGAGGAGATCGTGTGAATAAGAGGAGGAGATAAGAGATTATGGTGAACCCTGGGACTAGCCAGCTGAAGAGGACATCAGAGAATAGAAGAAAGTGGGGAGATGTGTTATTGAAGCCCAATGTTCCACTCGGAACCGAAGGGAATAATAAGATTACCGAATTTCAGCATATATGTTCCACTATATCGATCATTTATCTATCGACCAGAGTTAACTTACTATTGGAGTTTTAACTTCTACCGGACTAGATAAAAATGCTTCCATGTGTCTACTAATTTATCTTCCCGTGAATAATTTCGCATGCAACTAACAGTAGACCCTTTTTGTAGGGAAATACAATCTGAAAAATACTCATCACATCGTAGATGATGTAGAAATTGATTTGTTCATCTAATCTATGAATAACCATTTTTTTAAAAATTTATTATAAAAGCATTCCACTAAAAGACTGTCATGCAAGGAGAGGATCATTGCTATTCGCATAGCAGATAAATATCAGCCTTTACAATGGTCTCTCTTCTTCTTTTTTCTATTCTGACAGTTGTGACGATAAAGATGATGATTCACATTTCTGCTTTCTACAGAGACTTTATATTCTGCCTTATTTAAAATGTATGATAAATTATCACCACTTTTTCTTTTTTAAGTAATATAACTCGACAGAACACAAAGTTTTGTTACCAGTGTGTACACATTGTTTGTTATACAACAAATGGACAATTTAGAAGTAAGAAGGTAAATAAAAGCTGCCCACACACACACACCTCCGCCTCGTCTTTGCTTTGTTCGCTGTGTTCGCGTCAACCTCCTACACATCTACCCACCCACACACACACACATGCACACACAAAACTATACACAACCCTGTGAATCGACTTCTTTTACTCTGTAATCACTTAGTCACACTCTCCTTAATGTGCCTTCTTTGCTAAATTAATAATCACCTCTTTAAAATTTTGACATAAACAAAGAAACTGGGAGCAAACAAAATATGGGAAGAGAGATAAAAGGGGAAAAGCGAATTAAATGTTTAAAATAGTTAAATGCGCGAAGTGAATTTTCAAATATATATATATATATTCGAATGCGAGTTTGTTTGTTTTTTACAAAGAAAAAAGTTTTTGTCAGTACACATCAGCAGGGTGTATGCATCATTCGTGGGCTTAAAAGAAGTCAAGATGATTTGATTTAATGATGCAAAAGCAGAAACAGTGTGTGTGTGTGTGTGCGTGTGAGATTGCAACTGAAATAATCGGCTGGGTAATTACTTGGCGTGAACGCGATTCACCCCAAAACTTGAACCAGCAAAAACTGTTTATACTTCCATCTCGCTCGGTTGATTGAAGCCTATCGATTGAGGGATATATCTAGTCTTGGTGCACTAGATATTACATTGTCAGTTAACTGTTCCTGTTTCACTAGAATTCTTCAAATGTCACTTATTTTTCTTCTCTTAATTTTATTATCTGACAGAGGGAATATAAGTAAGTCAACCAAAGTGACTGGTGGCTATTCACAGGTGACTGACCGACTAACTGATTGACAGAGTTTTGAAGTAGAGTTGTCAAAAAACGTGCACTACTTCGAATTGCTACACTCCATGTAGCACACAAAAGTAGAGAAAAGAGAAATTCAGAAAGGCTGTAATGAACAGAAATTTACTGCATAAAGGATAGTAGTATAGAAACACACGATGATTAAATAGATTTGGTGAATTTGAAAGATGTGATTTCCTCCACTTATCCGACTTGGTACCATTCTTTCAATTACATGTGAGGCCATAAATAAGGATGTTAATGCCGGACAGAATTGGATTAGCAAGACAGATATTCATCAGGCTAAAATCAGTTTGGAGATCTTCTGCACTTCGCAGCACACAGAACAAGATTCGGATTGTCAACTAACACCGGTGTTATGTTACTTCTTCTTCATGACTGCGAAATTTGGCGCGTCACGAAACAATTTCGAATGGATTAACAGACTTTCATCAACAGCTGCTTCGCTTCTTGATAATGGTTAGACTACCAGAAAGAATTAGCAACAAAAAACTTTGGGAACGAAGCACTCATGGACTGGTACCAGAAGTACTTTAGATGCAGCTGCAGTCTTGCATCATAGCATCGTCTCCAGTTTAGACAAAGGGGCTAAATTTTTTCACTGTGCCTTCGTAGATTACACATTTGCTTACGACTCAGTGTCTAGGGATATTTCGTTGAATAAGCTTTCTGAAACTCAAACTGACTGTTGGCTTGTCAAATGGCTGCATTCTTATTTCTCAGGAAGAAAACAGTGCACTATATGTCAGGAGAAGTCGTCCACTTCATTACTTATTAGGGCTGGTGTCCCTCAAGGCGCTACTGTTTCTCCTTTTCTGTTTTCTTTCTTCTTGCATGACTTGACTCACTCTCATAATGAAATGAACTTTGTTAAGTATGCGGACGGCCTATTTCAATGTTTGTTAACTCCCAGCTAGACTGAACTGAGATGAACAGCAAATGGTCTTCGTTTAATGGTCTTAAACTAAATCCTTCTAAATGTCAGACTGATAATTTCAGTTTCCGATGTAAAATTAATGACAGTGATAATAGAAATCAAGTTAGACATTAAATATCTTGGACTCATTCTTTCTTTTAATCTATCCTGATCTCATATGTTAGCGATTTCTAAAAGGATATTTCGTCTGACGTTTTACATTAAGAAGTTAAGGCACTCTGGCATAACCCAACCACTCCTCCCTTTACAGTTTGTCAACTCGTGCATTTTACCTATTCTTCTTTACTGTTCACCCTTATTCTTTCCTGGATCGCTTGAAAAGACTATGTCATACTTAGTAGAACTCTGAAGACTGACCGTCAGTAGGGCGAGTAGTGATATCTTATCCCATTGGGCCACATCGTTGACATTGTCACTGACAGGCACTTGATATCATGCAACAAATTTGCTGTGAGCATTCACTGCAGCACCCGTGCCTGCAACCTTGTGTCTCCTCAGGTAGAACAAGAAGTCTTTTCAGAAGACTTTATGCACATACGTCTAAGTATAAAAATTCCACTTTACCATATTTGATGGCACGTACTTTATGTAATGAAAATAGCGTTAAGGATGAACTAACTAGCCTTCTTTGTACCAGTAAATAAACCATTTTTACCATCCCCATTCCACCAAGCTTTATTGTTATTGTTCTTCCTGTATTTATAATTCTCTCAATTTTTTCTTCTTATTTGTTTATTTCCTCATAAGTGTGAACATCATTTAGGCTGTGTTATAACTGTCAATTTTGTACTTCCCCTCACCATACTGCCATATCAACAGAACATTAGATTCAATAATCTATGACATGCTAGAATTTCCAAACTGAACCGACAATACTGTTTGAAACAAACCCATTGTTAGTAATGATTAGAATTATTATTCTCACCTTGTTCTCTGCACATTTCTCACTTTATTCCTACTGTAAATCTAAGCCAATTCCTGTGGTTAATTTTATTTATATTTTGAGTAAATCAGATGCAATATTGGGACAAAATGCTGGGAATTCCGTTCTGTATTATAAGTACTGTTTTTCGAATAAAGTAGATTATTATTATGATTATTATTACTATTAATGGAAACTAGCGACACTGAAGACGGAGAACACCTATCTCCATTCAAGGCTGAAACTCTTAGATCACTCAAGATTATTAATCCCTAATGTTTTTTAAAAGAAGCTAATGGATAGCTGTGCGTCGCTGGCACGGCGGTTTGGACACCCGCCGACCATCCAAATGGTCCAGGGTTCGATCCCCGGCCACCGACGAGGCACTCATTTACCTCGCTAAGTCAGAAGTAATGCTGGTGAAGAGGAAAGGTTGAGCATTAGGCTAGCAATCCCGTCCTGTAAAATAATAAAAACTGCTACAGAAATTTTAAGCCAATAGCTTGAAGCCTGGGAACGTGAGGGAAGAAAAATGAATACTTGCTTTATTCAAAAGAGAGAAATACTAACAGCCAAATGCTTCGAAATCGCTTGTATACGGGATTATTTCTAACGGATTTATTAATTTTTAGATTTTGAAAACACCGCCTTTCAAGATAGCTAAAATGGTGATTAGTTATCCTTGATAGTTGGTCAAGGCATACCATCGTGAGTAGTTCCCGTATCTACATTTCTGTTATTATGAGACAATTTACCGTAAAAAAAAAGAAAGATATTTATAGTTACCTGTAATTTTTTGCATCTAAATGTCATCTACATTTTTCTTCTACATTAGACTGAACCCGATAACAGCTGAGTCAGACGGTTTCTGTCAAGAATTTCACAGTAATGTATGCGGGAAGTATCTTATGGGTCATCGTGTATATGTTACAAGAGAATTTCAACAAGCGCTTATTGAAGCACAAATATCGAAGTGTAAGTTGCATGTTCTGGTATGATTTGATACATGTTTATGCATGAGGTAGTTTTGTTTTTATCTAATGTGAAATAATAGAACTCCCTCCCTGAAAAGTTTTAATTTTAAAGTGAGCTCAGTATTATAAATAAACTCATAACCAGAAGGAGAAGTGATATCGACGAGAAAAGAAGTCCTTCTGCTTGATGATCACCAGTGGTTAGCATGCTCGCCGACTATGCACATGGTCCAGGATTCGATCACCGGCCGACTCATTCCTTTACCTCACTTATCCAGTAGCAAGACTGGTAAAGAGGGAAGGTTGGGCATGAGGCTAGCAACCCCATCCTGTAAAAATAGTCACCACTGCTACAGAAACTTCAAGCCTCCAGCTTGAAGCCCTATGTTACACACTGGGAACGTGAAGGAAATAAATAATAAAAAATAATAATAAAGTACCCTCCATTTTTACATGGAAACGTGATGGATACGTCTATACTGGAGATGTCTAGTAATCAAAACATGCGTTAGCCTCCAACCTCGGCCAGCGAATGATATCGTACGCCAGGCCCTCAAGTGGAATCCAGATGGGAAGCAACGAGTGAGTCTTCCTAAAGTGACATGGAGGAGATCGTGTGAGGAAGAGGTGGGAGTGTTCAGTCAATCGTAGACACAGATGAAGAGGACGGCAGAAAACCGGACAAAGTGGAGATGTGTTGTCGAAACCGTATGTTCCGCTCGGAACGCAAGGGAATAATAATAATAAATAATTAGCCTCCAGCCTAATGCCCATAATGACTTGTATGTATGATTTACGCCCAGTATCAGACAAACATGAAAATCCACAGGAGGAAAGCGATAAACTGACAGAAGACATTGAAAAGATAAGACTTCAAGTGTACATAGAGAAGACCGAGGTGATGAAGATACCCCGACGACCAACAACGAAAAGCATCAATCACTGTCAATGACAGAAATTTAATGGAGGTCACCTCTATCGCTTATCTAAGCAGCATCATTTCAACAGCTGTAGACGGCAAAGATGAGAGTATCGAAGCCAGATAGGATCGTAGAAGCAATACAAGCGCTCATTACTCTTAATTCACTGTGGAGGTCTGCTGTGCTAAAGTTAGTGTACAAGATTCGGATTTTCAACACCAATGTTAATTCACTTCTTCTATAGAGTTTTGGGACTTGGAGAGTCACCAAAAGCCCCATATTGGAGATTAATTAGTTGTCCAGATAGGATTAGTGACAGGGAACCAGCCAAGAACTTACTGCCCAACAAATATCCCCCCGAAAATGGAGGTGAATCGAACACACTTTGAGGAGACCGCTGAGTGACTTCAAGCACCATGAAATCGGGTGGGGTCCAGATGGCGAATAATGAGGAGATTGTGTGAGGAGGCGAAGAAAGCAAACTAAAAAACGACTGCAGTGAATAAGTTCAGACGAAGGTGTGCTATTTAAGCCAACTGAACAATAGTAATAACAATAACTCTCTAATTGATATCAATCCGTGATCAACTCATAGAAACAAAACTAAACCTTACAAACTAACTATAGAAATTTAATCTGATGCTCGCTAGTGACTGGCTGACTACAGGACGAAGTTGCCTGGAGTGAGTTCTAGTGAGAAGTCGTGAACAGTGAGGTCCATCCAGACGTCACATGTGAGGATGTACGTCCCACCAACGACATTGGTTAGGGTGGCGCTAAATCACGAATTGGTAGAAGTCAGAATTCATGAGCTGGCTACTGAATCGAGTCCCAGTGGCTGAATAGTATACGAGCCTGCCTTGTAACCGGAAGGTCTTGGATTCGAACCCCAGTGATTGCGTAATGCCCATGATTCCCAAACTAGGTTGAAACAGCTGTTTTCAATGGTTCTGTAAATGATATCAATCCGTGGTCAAACTCGCACAAACAAATCTAATCCTTACAAACCAACTATAGAAAAATAATTATAATAATATCCAACCAGGAATACAGTTCCTTACTCGATCAATATTTATATAGTCACTTACTAATTAGTGTCAACTATCTGTGCGTGCAAGTGGTAGACGGTGAGAGAATGCATCAAACCAATTTGGAAACACCGTGTAAGGATTCTCAAGAATTCCATACTTCTAAACATGAAAAATGTGAATATTATCATTGCGGAAGCGAAAAAAAGTGCAACGACGGTACTCTAATGTTCAATTAATGATTGTCAGTCAGTTCACATTATAGTTGTGTCAATATTTTCAACTTTGAAGTAGATTGAGAAGCTGAGTCATATACACAGAGATGTTTAATGTGACGAAATTGTGGTGATAAAAAAATGGAATGAATTCAAGACACTCTCTCTCTGCTGAACAAACATATATTTGAGAAAAAACAAACAAAGCATAACATAGATGATAAAAAAAGGTATTTGTGTGCATATCTATCCACTGTGATACTCACTTCACACGTTTAATACAAGAATGGACTAGTTAAATATGAAAGGCTTACACTTTAACAATACGGATATTAAACACGCATTTTGTTACATGTTTCATGGACACTAAGTTTAGCATTTTCATAAATATAATAATATCCGAATAAATGAGAGAAAGTTGAGACTAATTAGTGTTATTTACACTATGTAAATATTGACAAAGTGAGGAATTGCATTCCCAGTTAGATATTATTATTATGCTCAACACAAAATGGTTGAGCAAAGAATATCCTTTTCGATAATTCCCTCCTCTTCTGGCTCTACAATTATATATCTATACGTTTATATACATAGAATATTCTAGATTGGTAGTCAATAACAATATTAGTGCGTTTTTTAAATAATATCGATTTGTGAAATTAATAGGCCGTACAATTAGGCGTGTTCCTCGTCGAATTTCCGAACATCACCCTGCTTAGTGGTCAAGTAAAGGACAAACAAAATCTATTCGTAGCGCTATTCTATCTCATTTTGTGGATACAGCAGAACACACGATTGATGTCAACTAGGTGGCTGCCAAAGTCATTTACCGCATACCTACGAATTCCAATTTTGCCTTAACAATTCGACTACTAATTATTTCTGAGGCTGGCTGTTGGGATCCATATTAACAAGTCTAGTCTATGTGTCTAAAAGAAGTTAGTTCAGACATATTCCTTACCTTATCCATCTAGGTTTGAATTATCATGAATTTTTGTGGAGTTTTCCTTATTTTAGTTGATATTCTATTTGCTATTATATCTTTATTATTATTATTATTATTATTATTATAGTTTAAGCATCTTTAATGAACTGTAATTCCATTGTGATCTTACTATATAAGTCGCTATTATTTAATAAACACTAATATTGATACTGACTACTAATCTAGAATATTCTATGTATATAAACATATGTATATATAATTGTAAAGCCAGAAGAGGAGGGAATTATCGAAAAGGATATTCTTTGCTAAATTATTTTGTGTTTTATAGATGTCTGAATGAATATTTTTGCTATGCTTTTTATTTGGCTGAAACAGCAGCCCATTTTTAGTAAGCTGTTATTTTCTGCTCACCTTAAGACACCTAACTAACTCATTGTTCCTCGTTTAGTTTACACTTGAAGGCCTGCATGGCACTTGATGTTACTCAGAGGATCTCCTGAAGGTGTGTCAGATCCATCTTGATTTTCTACTGGATAATTTACAATAGATTCTTGGTCGGTTGGTTCCAGAGTTTTTCGAAAAAAGCAAGAACAACAGTAGTTTGTGCAGAAATATATGGTACAATCATTTTTTATTTCGTTGGCTTCTCATCAGCTGCTTACAGTCTAAATAAATTATTAGGTTCAAGTACAGAAACGTTTTAACATCTTGCAAATTTTATATGTTGTCAGTTGACAGAAAGTTCCACAATCAGTAAACAGTGCTCAGAAAATTGCGCTTATATAGTTTTTACACAGGCAGTTCAAGTTAAAACAAAATAAATGTATGCATATAATGGTAAAGGAGTTACATAATAAAGATGAGATGTGTATTAGATGCATAGTGACTAATAAGTTAGGTAACAATGCACTGAGTTGAACTCAAATCATAGAAACAAGAGACAAGCAAAATTACAGATTATAAAAGGAGGGTGAGGTTAAGGACAAAGATCACGTAATCAGATGAGAGAAAAAGAGACATCCAGTTACCAAGGCAAGGAAAGACTAATAACTGCCTCTTTCTGAACACATAAATCTGGTTTCAAGCGTTTGATAGAAATTGCTTCGGCAAACTTGAGGAGAATGGAGCTCCTTTGTCTATTGATAATTTTGAAGGATTTCTCGATTTCCACCTCATGACCCGTGTCGAGATGTCTGGTAATAGCGCTACTATAAGAGTTTGTTCCCTTGAGACATAGGCTTTTCGGCACATGTTCAGAAAATCGAAGGTGTGCCCTTCTTTCTGTTCTCCCAATGTAACTGCTCCCGCAGATACACATAAATTTGTATACACGGTTGGAGTTAGCATGAGAAAGGTATCTATCAACTTCTGACTGCACCAAACAGCATGTTGTTCGATGAACAGGAACCAACTTAGCTGCAGGATAGGCTCTGGCTAGTGACGTTCTCAGTCTTCTGTTGACCATTTCTGCAATGTCTTCGCCTTTGAAATCTAGTTGAATGAAGACAGGCTTTTTTCAACTGTGATTTGTTTGGTATTTGAGCCTTCACTGTTGTTCACAAACCACTGTTGTTCTTGCTTTATTCAAATTTATCAAGGGAAATAAATGCCAGAGTTTTTCGTTGCCATGTGATCTTCAGTGTCAGGGGATAAAATGACTGTTGATAAGAGCCTTCAGCTTGTTCAAAATACTTTTCGTGATGTACACACACACACCAAGTTTCCGAACCATATAGTAACCATATTAAAAATCCAGATATTGCTCTTTATGACAACTGCAGTAGGTTTCCATAGTGATTTCAAACTGAGGAAGGTCTGTCTTATCTTCTTGACTGTTTCTCGCTTTGACATCTTTATCCATGCCATAGCCTGTAGCTGAAACAAGTGGAAAT